CATGGAGAAGGACTTAATTCAGCGATGCTCTAATGCCCACTAAATTTACCCCTTAAGTGTGTCACTGTGGAGGTGGTTGGGTGGTGCTTTGACGTAGTCTGAAGTTGTCCACCAGGTACAATGGCTCTGGGGCCTCCTGGGAGGTGCAGGACAAGGTCAGTCGCCATCTGTGTTCTGCCTTGGGCCTCTTGGCATGAGCTACAAAGTGATCTGCAGATGGCTGCTACTTGTGCTGGGCTTTGAGGCACCCAGGAGAGGCCAAGCTTCAAACTAAGGCTGGCTGCCACTAGAGCCAGGCCTGGGGCCACTGAGCGAGAGGTATTGGGTATGCCAAGTCCAGATGTGGCTTATTTGAGAGATTTTAGGACAGTCTGAAGCATGAGCCAAGACAAGCCATTTGTATGAAAAAGTCACTGAAAACAGCTTGGGGGTGGGGTCTGAGGGAATCACCAGGGCGGGCCTAACAGTGTTAGTGAGGGGGATGGAAACTCAGACAGGGAGCCTGCCAGCTCTGAGGAGGGAGGGCTCAGCAAAGGAACAATGGCTTCTGCCAGCACTTCCCTCTGGGAGAAAGCCCTTGCCCTGATGTCAGACAATTCAGCAGCAGTATGTCCCAGGTGCCCTTCAAGCTGTTGCGCCAACACTGGAGGTCAGAGAAAGTGAGTCAGAGTAAGTCTGTGTACAGCCCTTTAAGTGGAATTCCTGGGACTCCCAACCCTCCTTCTCCTCCAGCCTCGGTTCCCACTGGTTTTCACAGCCAGCAGTTATGGAGACATCTCTTCCTGGCACTGGAACCCTGGGCCGGGGGACTGGGTGTGGGCCTGGGACTCGTAGCTCCTCAGGGGGACCTCTGCAGCCAGGATATACCTCCCAATTTTTATCCACTACAGGTGGGTGTAGGACCAGCCCTTCTGTATCTCCACCCTTCCTACCAGTCTCCACGTGGCTTCTTGAAATCCTTAGTTGTAGGACTTCCATTCAGCCAGCTTGCAGGTGGTTCTGAGAGAGGGTTGCTCTGTAGTTTAGCCATAAGTCCGATGTGGTTGTGGGAGGAGGAGAGTACCGCATTTACCCACATGCCACCTTGCCTGGAAGCCCCCACTCACTCCTCTGAAGGCTCATATACTGCCATGCTTGTTGGCCACTTTTTAAAAACATAGTTGTTCATGGTAGAAATTGTGAGACGAACTAGAATGATATACTTGCTAGCCTATTTTATTTTAGTCTTAGTGACTCAGAGAAAAATATCCAAAGGCGTTCATTAAGAGCATCTTGTCAAAGACTTCAGGTTGTCCAATGACCAAGTGTTGGGTACTCTGACAATAACTCACCTCAATCTACACTTCATTTCAAATGTCACATAACCCTGATAACTTGGTTGAAACTCAATCTTCTGATCCCCATCGTATTGGAGTTTTCCTTTACTATGGGTTCACTATTTAACACAGTTCTATCCAGTGGACTTTCCTGTGACGACAGAAATGTCCTCTGTCTGCACTGTCCTAACGGCAGCCTCTAGTCCCGGGTGGTCACTGGGCGGGGGGCATTGGCAGTTAGTGGCAGACCCTGAATGAATCTCCTGCCTCTTGCTGGGATGCCATGGGCCCTCATGTTTAGATTTCATCTGGGCAGGAAAAATGAGCAGCAGTTTCAGAAACGACCTAATTTTTGCATTTAATGATTGAGTGTGTATATGGAAACAACACCGCCCCCTGCTATCCTCGAATTTAACAGATGACAGAGAAATTCAGTTCCACTAAAAATACAGGACTGTGGGATTAGAGCCCCAAGCCAGATTGAATGGAACAAATCATGAGGTCCTGTCACTGTCTGCCTAGGGCTGCTCGGAACAGATCTTAAAGTTGTGTTCTGTGTTTATTATTTACTCGTTCACCGATTGAACACCTACAGTGGTCTAGGTAAGAAGGTGTGGGGTAACGGAAATGGATAGAAACAGTTGAAGCATTCGGGGCCTCACTATACTGTCTCCCAGGGAGCACAGGCCCATGAGGGTCTTACCTATCTTATGGAGTTCTGGTGTGTTAGGGTTCTGGAGGCCAGACCTGGGTTCGAAATCAGTGCTTCACTTACTAGCTCTCTCACCTTGGACACATGATGAAAATTATTTTAGCCTTCTCTTGAAGATGGAGAGAGAATATGCTGCTGCTGCTGCTGCTGCTGCTGCTGCTGCTGCTGCTGTTAAGATTACATAAATAATGCGCTCAAAGCACTTAGCGTAGTGCCTCCCTCCTAGTGCACCCACTAAGCCTTAGCACTCACTGCTACTACTACTGTTGTGGGTATTATCATTAGAAATAAAAATGAACCCTGTGAGTCATAATTCTCTTCATTTTGCAGAGAACTAAGGTTCCGCAAGGTAAAGCAGACAAAGTTACAGTGATAAAAAAAAAAAAAAATGCCAGGACCAAAATGTGAGGCAGGTTGGAGCTGGCTGCTCTCAAGAGGGAGAATTCACCTCTGGGCCCCACCCAGAGAGGACTGCCTTTGAGCAGGAGTAGGGGGGTCTCCAGAGGTGTAGGGTCTTTCGAGGGGGAAACAGCAGGCCTGCTAAGAAAACCGTGGGCACCACCTACCCTTATCATTCCTGCAGTGTAACTTTCAGAAGTTTCCTGAACTAGCGTCTGTTGTCCTGGAAATATGCACATTCAGGATGTTTAAACTTTAAATCAAACAATGCCAGCACCTGTTTGGATAGATTCTGGAGTAAGTGAAAGAGCCGCTGAGTGAATTTTCCTGTCCATCATTCAACGGTCCATCTGTTCATTCATCTGTCCATCTATGTTACGAACGTTAAACACCTACTGTGAACTGGCCACATCTTGAGGGCGCTTTTCTTTATCTGACAGTGTTCTCAACTCGAGACAGAAGTGGTGAGTGAGACACACGTTGGTGAGTGCAGTTAGAAGAGGGAGATTCCTCCTGCTGGGAGTTTTGCATGGCACAGCCTGGCAGCCGGTGAGGACTGTTGGGATGGCGGGCAACTCACAGCCTGGAGACACTGCGTGCGATGATTATTTCAGGCGCGCGTTTCCGGTTCAGCGGATGCCTGTGTGCATATTTGGGAGAATGACTGCTTTATGCTGTTTTATAGCTCCAACCACTAGCATTGTGATTGGTGCATACTAAGGAGCCAAATGGTTTGGGTTATTTTTATCTTTATTGTTGAGAATATTACCGATGTCCCTATTTTTTCCCCTTGTTGCCCCCCCTTCACCTGGCTCCTGCCCCAGCCCAGACCGTCATTACCCTGTACTCTGTGTCTATTGGTTATGCATATATACACATACTTTTTTTAGTTAATCTTTTCCCTTCCCCCCTTCCCTTTTCCCTCTGAGATTTGTCAGTCTGTTCCCTGTTTCCATGCCTCTGGTTCTATTTTATCCATCAGTTTATTTTGTTCATTAAATTTCACATATAAGTGTGATCATGTGATATTTGTCTTTCTCTGACTGGCTAATTTCGTTTAGCATGATAATCTCCAGGTCCCTCCGTGCTGTCTTAAAAGTTTTTACAGCTGCATAGTATTCCATTGTGTAAAGGTACTATAGCTTTTTTCGTTGTTAAAGGTCGGTTGGGAGCTGGCAATAAAAGCATCTGCAGTGGCTGGGGGGAGTCCACCCAGGCAGGTCTGGGTTGGAACCAGACAGGGGGAGTCCGCGGCAGGGTGGTGGCATTCCAAGCAGAGGGCTCTGCCTGGGTGAAGGAGGCGTGGGTACTATGAGAAGGGCGTGCTGTGGGCGAGGACTCCCGCCTCGGGAAACAGATGCATTCCAAGTCCGGGAGGCGCCTGGGGGCATCGCAGCGATCCTGCCTGTTGTCCAATGAGAGTGCGTCCAGAACCCAGGCTTAGCTATCTTTAAAACTCCCAGCCAGGTCCGCACCAGGTACTTGGCCGCGCGCAGCTGTCCCGCCGCAGGTGAGAACGTTTAAGGAAATTTTGACATGTAGGCGGCTCCATCCATTGGTTGGGGTCGGTCCGAGCAGGGCAGGCGGCAACAGGTCCGCTCGGCCTCAGGCCTCTCTAGCGCCTCCAGGGCAGACGCCTTTCCGTGCCGCCTCCTCCCGGAGCCTCTCCGGAAGCCTTCCTGGTGGTCCCCCCATAAATCATTCACGAGCTGGGGCAGGAGAGCAGGGCCGCGAGGAGCGAGGGCAGGGCGGGTTGTGCTGGCCGAAGCCCGAGATGGACCAGGAGCTCGGTAAGTGGCCACGTCGTCACGCGGAGCCTGGGAACCATCTGCGGACCCCGCATAGGGGTGAGCGCATCCCCTTCTAGAAAGCTGGGGGTGAGGAATGGGGAGCTAAGTAGCCTTTTCTGGCCCCTCACCTCCCAGCTCCCCGAGACCCCGCCCTGACACCTAGCAGGTGGTGCGAACCCCGAGAGCGGCCAGGAAGCCAGAGGGGCTGCAAGGCGGGCGAGGTGGTCCGGGCGTCCCGCCAGGGCGCGGACACGCGCAAACTTTGCCAGCTGCCTGGTGGGTCTTCTTTCCATCCACTGGAGGGGAGCCAGCAGCTGGGGTTCCCAGGTCCCGAGCGCCAGCAGGCGGTGGGCGCAGGACCGGGACCAGGACCCGGACCCAGACCCCCAAGGCCGCGGGCTCGATCTCGGAAGTGCAGCAGGTCGAAGGGGGGCTCCTCAGGGGCTTGTAACTGTTCCGAGGTGAGGGAGTGCCGGGGTGGCGCGAGGGCGCGGGGCGCGGAGCCTCCCGGTAGGTATGGAAAGGGGTCACCTTTCTCTGGTCTGCCAAATGGAGTACGCTGTGCAAGCGACCGTAGCAGGGGGACCACGGGGTGCAGCGGGAGGCCGTCTCCCCGCCTCCGCGAGGGAGCTCACCACCCCAGGACTGGAAGCACTCCCCTGCCCACTTTGGGCGCACAGCGCGAGGACCTTCAGCGATTTCGGGATCCAGAACTAGGTGCTGGGGCGCCCCCGGCGGTGCTGCGCCGGCCGGGACAACAAAGGGAAGCGTGGACAGAGGAAGAGCTTTGCGGTGAGGGCGAGTCGGGGCCCCAGGTCAGTTTCCCCGAAAGTGCGCGGCATGAGGGGCTTGGGATCGAACCGGGGTGGGGGTGGGGGTAACACCGCTCCGGGCCCCCTTCTCCTCGGCAACGGCGACCCCGATCTATGCCAACCCAGGCTGCGAGCCGACGCGCCGGGGGCAGCCAACTTACTCCAGCAACCCCCTCCCCCCGGAGGCGCCGATCCCTGGAGTCTCCTCGCTTCCCGGAGCCGCCCTCCAGCCCATTCTTTTGTGTCCCGCAGCGTGGAGAGGCACTGGGGGAGGTGGGAGCGGGCCGGAGCGGGCTGGCCTGGCGGCAGCTTGGAGGGAAAAGCTGGGGAAGCCGGGGCCCCAAGCTTCCTGCAGCAACTGGTTGCGCCTGCAGCCCGCGGTGGCTGCTGGTGGGTCCCTGCCCGGCTCCCAGAAGGTTTTCCCGCGGTCCTGCGGGCGCCGGGTGCCCTTGTAAGGTTAGGGTGTGTGATAGGGTCCTTAAACGTCCCCGCGCCTTGCGCTGCAACATAGACCCCTGGAGACTCAAACAACTGCGGTCCTGTGTTAGGTTGAACTATATGAAACTGCCGGGGTTTCTGTGGCCGGAAGCCTTGAATGTCGGCAACTTCATATGCTACAACTTGCGTGCCGTTACTCACATGTGAGTTTTCTTTCAATGTCCGTGGAGCTGCCCTGTCTTGTTAGGGTGAGAGCATTATTGATGCTCGTAGGAGCAGTACAGGCCCTTTATTGACTGCCAGCCCTGTGCCAGGGACTGAACCTACTGTCTCTAACCCTCCAGCACTATTCAAAACCCCATTTTACAGATGAGCAAAGGAAAACGTGGAGAAGGTAAGCAGCTGTCACAGTTAGTAAGTCCGACTCCCGCTCCAGCCCTGTTGTCTCTTCGGCAGTGCCCTTTAGTTTTGTTTACTTAGTGTGTCTCATAATGTTTTTTATGAACTTCTTTATGATTCCATGCTGGACTGTTTCTGTGAGTCTAGGACAATGACGTAAACAAGTGCCTCAGAGGATAGGTTAAAATAGTAAAACTTTAAACCAAACACTGTTTTGTTGACTGTTTTATAAAATGAGAAGGAAATAGGTTCTGCAGGGGGACCAAGAGCTACCTCTGAGATTTGTTAAAGGTCAGGATGCTCTGTTACCAATGGTAGAAGCCAACTCTGGGTAATTGTATTGGGTGGCTGGCCAAAGTGACAGGAAGGCTGGTCAGCCAGGCTCAGGAGCCCAGGGGACCAGGACTCAGGACATGCAGAAAAGCCCCTGATTGGTGTATGGCCGTGGCTTTCACCATGGTGGGTCTCTGAAGGTGGCTGCTGGCACTGCAGCATGAGTTAGAAAGCCCCTGCCCCAATGTGTTGCTCCAAGCACAGCCCAGGAGTAAACATCTGATTGGCTGAGCCTGAGTCACCCGCCAGGGTGCAGTTTGGGTGCCTCAGCCCGCCTCACAATGAAAGGCAGGGCTTGCCAACCACTGACTCACAAGACAGGGCTCAGAGGTTGGGCAGCTCCCATCATGCCCACTCCCATCCCCCAAGCCCCCAAAGACAAAAACATCCCCACAAAGAGCCTTTTAAAAGAAATTCCGTCCAAAGTTCCATCCAAAGGAGAAGAGAAGAAATGAAGCTGGATGGTCACCATGTTTGCTTTTAAACCAGGGTTTGTGGAATTGCCTGGCTCTGGACCCCAGGCACAGAATCATGTGAGATATTTGCTTAAAATTCACATTCTTGGGCCCCCTTCCTCAGTTTGAACTCAGTGCATTTGGAGTGAAAACCAGGAAGCTATACCCCATACACCAGAAAAATGGTGAGACAACCTTATTGATCAGTCTCGTGTCTAGGCAAGGAGATGGCACCTGGCAGAACAATTTCCAAAGCCGGCAAAGTTGAGGATCCCAACAGAAAATATGGCCCCCAGAAGGGTAGACCAGTTCTTCCCTTGGCCACTCCAGTGAGGAGACAGCTGCTTGTGTTGCAGCCACAAGAAACCTAGCAACTCTCTTCCGGAGGCCCCAGGACTGCTCATAATTGTTTGACACAGTTTCAAAATAGGTAAAATGACCGTTCTGTGAGTCTACCCTCAACCCTCCACCTTTTGATTTTAGCAGTCTTTATTGAGTGCCTACTGTGTGCCTGACTGCACCAGCACAGTATAAGTCAGTCGGACACCCCACACAGCTGCTCAGTTCAATTCACTATAAGAAGGGTGGTTGGGCCCTGGCCAGTTTGGATCAGGGATTAGACCATCAGCCTGCAGACTGAAGGGTCACGGGTTCGATTCTCAGTCAAGGGCACATATCTGGGTTGCGGGTTTGATCCCAGCCCTGATCAGGGTTGTGCTGGAGGCAACCAATCCATGTGTCTCTCTCACATCAATGTTTCTGTCTCTCTCTCCCTCCTTTCCACTCTGTCTAAAAATCAATAGAGCCCTGGCCTGTTTGGCTCAGCGGTTGCAGCGTTGGGCCTGCGGACCAGAGAGTTCCGGGTTCGATTTCCACTAGGGGCACAAACCAAAAAAAAAAAAAAATCAATAGAAAAATATTCTCAGGTGAGGATTAACAACAACAAAAGCGTCAATTTATGGACAGAGAAGTATGGCTGGGGCCTTTGCCTTTCTTTTGTTGTGTTTGGGAAGCCTGAGCTGTCTTTGGAAAGTAGTATGAGTGAGCCAGGCAGCTATCAGGAACAGTGCTGGTTTTCAAACCTTAGATGTCTTAAGAATCACTCACCAGGGGAGCTTGTTAAACATGCAGATTAATGGCCCTCACCTCTAGAAATTAGTTCTGATCATTTGCATTTCAAATAAACAGCCCCTTTTATGCGGATGCAGCTGTTGGTCCACAGGGTTTCCTGGGTTTTATGTTGGTCTGGGAGCTGCTCCCAGGCTAGGTGTGTGGGCTAATAGGCTAGCACCCGACCTCTTTGGGCATAGCCGATTAAAACTGGCGTGGAAAACTTTTCCTTTTTGACTTGACTTTTATCAATCATCTAGTGTTTCAGACGTAGTGAGATTTCAATATTTTCTGAAAATTTATTCTGAACTTTAAGAGGGACCTACACCCAGGAGTGATGACATCTGGGCCCGGGTCTCGATGTGCTTTCTCACCCGCTGACACCCCCACCTCCCCAGCAGTGAGAAGCAGCGTCTCCTTTGGGACCTCCCTTTCCTGCTGTTTCAGGGATGGAGTCTGAGAGTCTGTTTATGGCTGCTCTCCCATGGGCCTCTTGCCGAGTTTCTTTCTCTCCCTGGTGGAAGCCTGCGGGCATTACCAGGAAGTCAGCCTTTCTTAGCCGCTGAGCCTTTAATCCTCCCAGCTGCTCTGCTCCCTGCCTGTCCTTTGGCAGAAAATAAGATGGCAGTGTGTGGAGGTATGTGTGTGTAGAGTGTGGTGTGTGTGTCCATACGTGTACATATATGTGTTGTGTGTATGGTGTGTTAGTGTGTGGTGTGTGTATATGTAGTGTGCCAGTGTGTGGTGTCTATGTACATGGTGTGTGTTAGTGTGTGGTGTGTGTACATGTAGTGTGCCAGTGCATGGTGTACATGTACATGGTGCATGTTAGTGTGTGTATATATAGTGCGTCAGTGTGTGGTATCTATGTACATGGTGTGTGTTAGTGTGTGGTGTGTGTATATGTAGTGTGCCAGTGTATGGTGTATATGTACATGGTACATGTTAGTGTGTGTATATGTAGTGTGCCAGTGTATGGTGTCTATGTACATGGTGCATGTTAGTGTGTGGTTGTGTATATGTAGTGTGCCAGTGTATGGTGTCTATGTACATGGTGTGTGTTAGTGTGTGCTGTGTGTACATGTAGTGTGCCAGTGTGTGGTGTCTATGTACATGGTGCATGTTAGTGTGTGGTGTGTGTACATGTAGTGTGCCAGTGTATGGTGTTTATGTACATGGTGCATGTTAGTGTGTATATAGTGTCAGTGTGTGGTATCTACGGACATGGTGTGTGTTAGTGTGTGGTATATGTATATGTACGTGGTGCCTGTGTGCAGTGTGCAGGATGTGCGATGCATACCATCCTGCCTGCTTAGTGCAGCCCTATCCTATCTGAATAACCACACACACCTCTCGTTTCATACCTTCCTCCTGCCCTGGGCAGCCCAGAGATTTCCAGACCAGGGGCCTTGTAAAGGCTGCCACTTTTTCGTATTTGTTCCCTCTGGAAAGGATATGATGGCTGAGCAGAGCACTGATTTGCTGTTAGGACCAGTGGCCATGCCTGGCGGGGAGATTACCTTTGGGAAACAGTCCCCAGGGGCCTCATGTCTGGGGGGAGAAGAGAGCACACACGGAGGCCCAGGGTTAATGAGGCTGGTACTGGGGGCCCCTAGTGGATCTGAACAGCCTCGAGTTGATAAAGGAAGAGTTTAGGGTCATTCTATTGGTGGCTCTTTGCAGAAGTAATTGGAGTGGGACAGGACTTAGAAGACAAGCAACATCTAAAGGGATCCTATAGAAATTCACATCTTCAAATAGCTCATGAAATCCTACCTTCTTCTTTGACTTGGTGGAATGTAAGCAATGGGTCCACTGGCCATAATGTGTCACTTTTTTGATGGTCCCTCTCTCAATGTATATTTTAAGAGCACCTTGTCTTTATTCTGAAAGTTAGTGTGTGTCTACTATATAAATAAAACCCGGGCCTCCTGACACCTGAACAGAGGGGACCAGCTGAGAATCCCAGTTCCTCTGGTAGGTTCTGTTTTGGTTCACTAGCCTCAGGCAATGGCACAAGCAAGTCAGCTGTTTGGCTTATTTATGTTTATGTTCAGCATCACTTTCTGAGTCCCTACTGTGTGCCCTGCTCAGTGTTCGGTTCTGAGGCTGGAAACATGAGAACAGGGACCATGCTGGGTACTCAGTAGACACTGGGTTGGTAGGTGCTTTTAGGATTTCTGTTTTCTTCTCCCTCTCCTGGGGTGGGCAGGAGTCCTCCTCTGCCCTGCCTCTCATCGCCTAGACCCCAAGTTGACCAGGTGGTGACTTGGGGGCGAAAGTTTCCATCAAGACTACCAGATGAGTGTGTGAACACACAACTCCAGTGTCACTCAGCCTTGAAGAGTTTGGTCCCTGCCCTTGAGACCATGGCTCTTCTAGTTTGGGTTGGGTGTGAATGGAAGGGGGAGGTTTGAAATTAGATCAGCGACTTCCGGTCAAGATGGCGGGTAGGTAAACGTGGTATCGCGTCCTCCCACAACAACATCAAAGTTACAACTAAACTACCGAACAACCATCATTCAAAACCACCTGACATCGAGCTGAATGGAAGTCCTACAGCTACGGAATTAAAGCAGCAGCCACATCCAGACTGGGAGGAGGGCGGAGGGGACGGGCTGGTCCCACACCCACGTGTGGCGGATAAAAATCAGGAGGATACCTCGGCTGGGAAGGTCCTTCCTGAGGACTGAGGGGGTCCCTGTCCCACACCAGGTGCCCCGCTCAGGGTTCCAGTGCCAGGAAGAGAATCCCCATCACTTCTGGCTGGAAAAACCAGCGGGAACTGAGGCTCAGGGAGGCTGACGCGGCTGGAGCCCCAGGCAGCTCCTTAAAGGGCCGGCACACGGACTTATCGGACTCTCTCCCTCTAGCTTGGAGGGGAGGCAGCTCGAGGGGCGCCAGAGACATACAGGGAAGAACTGAGCTGTTTGGCACTGGAGCGAGCGCTGGAGAGGGGGCTTCCTCGGGGACAAACGTGCTGTCAGAGGCCTTTGTTCCTTTGGTGAGCCCTTCCAGGGGGCGGCAGACAGTCTCCATATCTGGGACTCCAGCAACCTGGCTCACACCGGTAGCCCCGCCCTGCTGACTCCCTGAGGCCCCGCCCCACCCAACTTTCAGGCCCACCCAAGCTGTTGCCACTTGCTTAACCATAGGATTGGCCGGTCTTGGATCCTGCTTCAGGTTTTTCCTAAATTCTTTCAAACGAGCAGCATCTGGTCTCAGCGAGCCCCATACCTCTCATTAAGTAATACACTGAAACAAACACAGGGAGGCAGCCAAAATGAGGAGACAAAGAAACAGGTCCCAAATGAAAGAACAGAACAAAACCCCAAGAAAAGAACTAAGCGAAATGGAGATAAGCAACCTAACAGATACTGAGTTCAAAATACTGCTTATAAGGATGCTCAATGAACTTAGTGAGAACCTCAGTGAACTTAGTGAGGGCCTCAAGAGCATAAAAAAGGACCAGTCAGAAATGATGGATGCACAGTCAGAATTGAAGGAGGCATTAATTGAAATAAAGAATAATTTACACAGCTTCAATAATAAAGTACATAAATCCAAAGAGCAAACCATCGATTTGGAATATAAGGAAGCAAAAAATGCCCAATCAGAACAGCAAAAAGAAAAAGGAATCCAAAAAAATGAGGATAGTGTAAGGAGCCTCTGGGACAACTTCAAGCGTGCCAACATTCGCATCTTGGGGGTGCCAGAAGGAGAAGAGCGAGAACAAGAAATCGAAAGCCTGTTTGAAACAATTTTGGCAGAAAACTTTCCTAACTTGGTGAAGGAAACAGACATACAAGTCCAGGAAGCACAGAGAGTCCCAAACAAGATGAACCCCAAGAGGCCCACACCAAGACACATCATCATCAAAATGCAAAAGGTTCAAGACAAAGAGAGAATCTTAAAAGCAGCAAGAGAAAGGCAGCTAGTTACCTACAAGGGAATTCCCATTAGGCTGTCAGCTGATTTCTCAAAAGAAACTTTGCAGGCCAGAAGGGAGTGGCAAGAAATATTCAGAGTGATGAAAAGCAAGAACCTACAACCAAGATTACTCTATCCTGCAAAGCTGTCATTTAGAATCGATGGCCATATAAAGAGTGATGAAAAGCAAGAACCTACAACCAAGATTACTCTATCCTGCAAAGCTGTCATTTAGAATCGATGGCCATATAAAGACTTTCCCAGACAAGAAAAAGTTAAAGGAGTTCATCACCACCAAACCGTTATTATATGAAATGATGAAGGATCTTTTTGAAGAAAAAGAAAATGTATGAACAAACAAAATGGCAATGAATACATATCTATCGACAATGGAATCTACAAACAAAATGAACAGGTAGAACAGAAACATTCTCATAGATACAGAGAACATTTTGTTGGTTGCCAGATGGGAGGGGGGTTGGGGGAATGGGTGAAAAAGGTGAAGGGATTAAGAAGTACAAATTCATTGCTAGACTGACAAACCTCAAAGGGAAAGGGGTTGGGGGGGTGGGAAGAAATAAACCAAAGAATTTATATGCATAACCAATGGACACAGACAATAGTGTGGGAAAAGGTGGGAGGGGGGCGCGAGTGGGGAGGAGGGGGTCAATGGGGGAAAAATGTGGAACATCTATAATACATTTTACATCCAACAATAAAGATTTTTAAAAAGAAAAAAACAATAATAAATAAATTTAAAAAAAGAAATTAGATTAGCGAGCAAATAAGTAGAATAAAAGCAGAGTAAGATTTATGTCTAGAGATAGAGAAAACAACACAAACTTTGGGGAAAAGAAGTGTCCAGCCCGTTGCTGGGGCCGTCTGAGTCTCTGAGGGCCACTCTGTAAGGAGAGTCTTGGTGTCTAGAGCTCAGCTCGGAAGGCAAACCTCCCGAAAGCCACTGAAATCCTGTCCGCCGCCTCATCTGTAAAATGGGAGCATGCCTTCAACAGGGTGCTCTCTGTAAAGCATGTACAACAGTGTCTGGCAAATAGTAAGTGCTCAGTAAATGTTAGTTTCTAAGACCACACAGCTGTTTCTACACGACCTGGTGTTTCCTGCAGCCATCAGGGGTCTGGGTGTGGCCCTTGTGGAAGAGGGGCCAGCTTCACACTTTTCTTCCGCCCCTGGCTCTGTTTGCTCCGCACCCCACCCGGATTAGGCTGATGGGCTTACTCTAAATCCGCCAGCCTCCTGGGGGCAGCTCCCAGCGCAGACAGGCTGCTGTATTAGTGACGTCGCTCCTTCTCTCCCCCAGGGATGCTGCCTTGAGCAACTGACCCTCCTGGAGACCGCGCATGCCAGCGGGGCCAGAGAACCGAGGGCCCCGCAGTCCCACCTCCCCCCGCCGCCCCTCTCCCGCGCGGAACGCACGCTGCTGACTTCCCCACGGCTTCCAGAACCTCGGAGGCAGGAGGCCGTGACTTCTACCTCATGAGTGGAGCACCTTGCTGGCCATGACCATGACACTCCGCCTCCTGCTGCTGCTGGGGCTCTGCCAGAAGACCGTTTCAGAGGGGCCTCCGCAGTCCCCAGAGAGTCCCGATGTGCTGGGCTTTGAACTGCCTGCCGTTAACTACGAGACCGAGACCGCGGACTCGTTCACGCCGGGGCCCATCGGCGCGCTCTTTCGGATGGTGCAGGTGTTCCTCCGGGTGGTGCAGCCCGCAGCGTTCCCAGAGGGTAAGTGACCGCTGGGGACAGGACGGGGCGGGTGCACACTCAGCGTGGTTAATGACAGGACGGCCATGGAGAACGCAGTCAGTGCTCCAGAGCGTGGGGTTCAAGGTCATTGACTCGGACAAGAGCAGAAAGTATTGACACACGAGTTAGGAAAACTTGTACCAGGTTAAAGAGGTCGTCAGGAATGTGATGATAAGAAATGAAATCAAACTATGTTGGTATGTTGGTTTTCCATTTCTTTATCCCCCTCTCCCTTGTCTGTTAAAATTTTTTCTTCGTTGTTGATTTTAGAGAGAGAGGAAGGGAGAGGGAGAGAGAGACAGAAACATCGATGAGAGAGATCATAGATTGGCCGCCTCCTGCATGCCCCCCACTGGGGATTGGGCCCACAACCTGGGCATGAGCCCTGACCAGGAATCCAGCCGGCGACCTCTTGGTGCATAAGTGGACGCTCAACCACTGAGCCACGCCAGACCCCTTTTTGTTCTTTTTTCTTTCTGCGAGTGCAGTGGTTCCCAACCTTCCTAACGCCGCGGCCCTTAATACAGCTCCTCATGTTGTGGTGACCCCCAATCATAAAATTATTTTTGTTGCTACTTCATAACTGTAATTTTGCTACTGTTATGAATCGCCATCAGAAATATGTGTTGCCCGATGGTCTTAGGCGACCCCTGTGAAAGGGTCGTTCGACCCCCAGGTTGAGAACCGCTGTGCTACAGCAATGAATTATCCTCAAGTATATACCAAAGGTAAAAATTAGGGTGAAATGTATGCAAATTCTCTGTCATCAAAAGAGAAGTTAATAATTACCTCATGGCTTAAAAACCCAGCTCTCCTCCACCCACCATAAAATGCAGTTTTGACTTTGCTTCGGGCAAGGACCACAGGCAGACCAGACCTTTGTCCTGCGTAACCTGAGTTTCAGTCTGAGAGTCTGTGATGTTTGTGGCATATGGTGCTGTTACTCTATACATGTGACAAGTTCACCTTCTTACCGCTGTTTCCCCTCCTCTGCTGAACTCAAAGTCTGCGGGGTCTGTGTTTCCAGGGGTGGGATTATGAAAATTAAAATGATCTGTGGGAAGAATCTGTCACTAGGGTTTGGCAGTCTAAATTTTGATTGGCTTCATGTTAGACCTATTCTAAGCTTGTTCTTTAAACTACAAAGATTTGAACACTATCATGATTACTAAACTGATAAAATTTGTAGTAATCTTTATCATCTGCCTTAGCTGGCCAGCTATTGTTCATAAGAGGGGTGTGTGTGTGTGTGTGTGTGTGTGTGTGTGTGTGAGAGAGAGAGAGAAACAGAGAATGTATTTAATAAACTTCAGCACGTGTTTATATTTGGGTAGTTTATGGATTTTTATTAAAATACACTTATATTGAAATGTTTTTACATTTATTTATCTTTAGATTAAGCAACTGAAACAGTTTTAAGTATAGTTCTCAATTTTTTGTAGTTTAAATTTGAGTTCAATGAAATAAATTTCTTTGAGCCCTCTTGTCATTGAAGAGAGTCCAGAAGACTTTTTACTGTTTATGTCACTGCTTAAAGACTAAATTTGAAAATCCAGAAGTAGGAAATAAACTGAGATTATTCATTTACTTTGACTGCAAATTCACTGTGTTCAATAGATATCTCTTCATTTGTAGGCTTGATGTAAATATCATTGAATAAACACAAACCTACTAGAGTTTCTATTGCCTTCCTTTTTTTGTGTAAAAGACATAGAATTCAGTTGTTTATTATGAGTTTACAATGACTTCTTAAAAGGGATTGTTTAGAGTCTGGGTGTCAACATGAGGTACCCTATGTAATGAGTGAATCCTGGAATCTCTTTCCATGTGTTGTTCCACTATACTTCCTCATCCTTATTTTACAAGGGAGAGCGGTATTCTAGAAAGTGTTCATTCAAATGACTGAGTTAAAAGATAGCTTCTTTCTAGCACACTAGAAGGGTTTGAACTCCAATGTAATTATTAGTGTGGAAGGAGGTGTCTGAAGAAAGGAAACTCTCATGTAATCTTAGGAAGTTGCCTCGCTTTCCCTTGACTTCATTCAAGAATTATTACTTCAGAGAAAGAGTCCCAAAAGTTTCAACAGTAGACCAGAGCTGACCAGCCCTACCCCTTTCAAAAAACAATTGTTAGGACTGTTTAGAGAATATAATCCTGAATTTAGCAGTTGATATCTTGCAGCGTTGGTTTTTTCCCACCACTTCATTATTTATATTATTTCACCCTGTTACTAGATTTCATAATAGTTTCAAAGTGCCGGTCAGGTGCTTTGCAATGTGATGGATACACATGAGGCAAGTGTAGCTTTTCCATTCTGGGCCAGTGCATTTCATGGTTGCCAAATCAGAGGTAGGAAAACTAATTAAAAAGAGGTGAATGCCTGTTTATTAACTTAACTAACTTAATACACTCGCCCAAACGGAAGTCTTTAAAATGAGTCCTCTGTGGAGTCGCATCTTCACAGAAGCTATCATGCCATGCACATACTCTTTCATTTAAAGAGAACAGGTGTTTTGAATGCCCAGTCCCAGTGGGAAAGGAAGAGAGGGACCTGCAGGCTGGGCTCCCTCTTTTCCTGCCATCAGACTGGGGAGTTTTCTCCTTTTACATCCTGTGTCCAACCAAAAGGGTATAAAAAAAAGTCACGTAAGATTAGCTTAGATAAGACAGGAAGACTGTACGCCGAGGTAGAATGCGCTGTAGAGCTGGTGTGGGGATTTGATGAAGCCCCGCCCTGGTCTGAAGCTGCAGAAGTGGCACGTGTCCCAGGCGTGGGCTCGCTAAGAGAGTCGTCTGTCATTCATTCAACGTAGAAAGGGTGTTGATGGCAGGGTGACTGGGGGTGTGGAGGAAAGGGTATGCCAGCAAGGGAATGGCATGTCTGGAGAGGGGATGAGACCGTGGTTCATGGTGGACCCGTGAGGTGGGTGTTCACGAAGTTAGTCTGCCGAGGTCGGGGGGCAGAGCTGGAAGACCCTGACAGGCAGGTCAAGGAGTTTCCTAGAGAGGAGGAAGCTAAGGCAGCATGAGCAGAGTTTTCATTCATTCGACAAGCACGTATTGAAAGTCTCTGCCTTCTGGGTGCACCTTGCTGGGTGCTGTGAGCAGGGTGGAAGCAGAGCTGGCTTTGGGGAGAAGAATCCGACAGCACCTGGTAGGACAGTCACAGGAGGAGAGACTCCCACAGTGGGTCCAGAGGGAGGTAATAAGAACTAGCTAAAACGAGGTCAACATAGTGGGGAAACGGAAGCCGGATCCACTTTCCGTCCAAAGGACTTGGTTCAGACCCTAGCTCTTGCCTGTTACCTGCTGAGTGATGTTGGCCAAGGGTTATTTTCAGACACTGTGTTCTTGTAGATGTACTCTGACTATACTCATAACATGTTTATAGTGTTTATCTGCGAGGCTTACATGGCTGCTGTTAATATTATTATTAGAGAGGAAACATTGGCCAAATCTGATGCCAAGATTAGTGTCAAGAGGGGAAAAAGGTGTTTCCAGGACGATGTTGCAGCGTCCTTGCTGCTGCTCCCTCAGGAACATTCCACATGGAGTGGCCGCCTGAAAGCTGTTCCATGACTCTATTTTTAATCCTCACCCGAGGGTATTTTTCCGAGAGACTCATCAATCGGTTGCCTCCGAGGAACTGGGGATAGAACCTGCAACCCAGGGACGTGCCCTTGACCAGAAACCAAACCCAAGACCCTTTGCTCCACAGGCCAGTGCTCTAACCGCTGAGCAACCCAGCCAGCACAGTGGCATCGCTCTTGAAGTCCAGTGGCTGTGTCCCCGGCAAGCTCCGTGGCAGCAGACCCGGGAAGAAGCCAGGGCTCGGATGCAGTGCTAGTTAGTGAGTGGTCTTGACCCCTCCACAGGAACAGCTACATCTAGCGAGCTCTGGTGTTCTCTGCGTCTTCCTTCTCCCCTGCTGTCCCCAGTACCTGCTGAAAGACGTTCGCTAAGCGCTAGCTCATCTGACTCTCCCAGCAACTTTGAGAGGTGGATGATGGTGGTCCATGGTGGTCTTATTTCTGTTTTTGGTATGCCCCTTTGCAGACTGGAAAATGAAGTCAGGAAGAGATCACATGTGCAAGGAACACAACTAGCTAGTGGCAGACTGAGCACCTGACTCCTGGACTGGCTCTCTCTCCTGTACTCCACAGCTTAACTTGTGGAGAATCGGGTTCCCTTTTATTTTATCCTAGTGCTTGTAAACTGATCATAGGTTACTAAGAAAAAAGTAATTTTTACACATTAAAAGTGTGCATCGCAGAAGATGATCTGGCATGGGTGGTGACCAAGTGCCCTTTCAATCTGACCCGTCTGTGAAGTTGGCAGAAATTCTGATGCAGATCAGAGCCATTGTGATAGAAGAAGCAAAAAAAAAAGTCTCCTCTGCTTTTATTCTTGTGGAAATTCTCTAACATGATTCTCCACCTTGTTCTGGTCTATTTTTAAAATTAGATTATAGATGGTTGGCTTGCTACTAACGGCATTTTAGGCGAATCTGATTTGCTCCTGGGATTTGGTGGGTGTGAGGGGAGTTGGTAAGTGGTGTGGGAAAGGGAAGAGAGGAACTTGGTTTCTGCAGAATTTGAGATGCCATCAGGATGTCAGGTTACTTGGGAGCTCTGTCTGTTGCAGGTAAAAGAAACCTATTAACTAAGGCAGTTGAAAGAAGGGGTTGATCATCAGGACTCTAGGCTCTCTTACCTTAGATAAGGCCAGGAAGACTGTACCCTGAGGCAGAGTGAGCTCTAGAAGTGGTGTGGGTGTTTGATAAAGTGCTGCCCTGGTCTGAAGCTCTAAGAGGGACACAGTGTCCTGGGTGGGTCACTAAGGAGAGAGTCGCTTGTCCATTCATTCAACTTAGAAAGGGATGACTTTCTAAGTCATGGCAGGATGACTGGGGTGTTGAGGAGCGGCTGTTCCATGCGCTCAGTGAAGGGGTCAGCCACCAGGGACTAGACCTCACGCTC